CGTTGACAGCAAAAATATGATGAGAAACGAATACAACGTTTTCGATCTAAATATTTTTTCGTACAATTTTGAGAAAATTGATAACTAAATCGATATCATTTTATGCAATCGTAATTAAATAATTACGATTAAATTTAAATAATTTTTATATATCTGATATTTTAAACGTGAAAAAAGTTAAAAAAATGTTTGCGAATAAAAAATTTCGTGAAATTATTGTAATATTTTTTGCTGTCAACGTGGAAAAATACTGGCACAATTAATGTCGATGCCATACGTGATGCAAGCGCGAAAACTATGATATCAGTCAGACGTTCGATCGATCGATATCGCTTTTTGACGCCGCCAGACATACGCTAATCCAACAATAATGCGGCACTACGAACCTGTACAATCCGTCGCGTTTATCTCAATAAATATGGTTCTCTCGCTGTGTAGGCTGTCGCGAACAGACTGCGCCCATAGATAGTTATTTCTCTTCTCTAGATATTGCGCCGTAAAATGGTGTACACTTACGTGTCGTAGTGAATTGGTTACTTGATAAATGTTTTTTACGGCCTGGAATGGTAGTTTTATACGAAGCTGCTGTATCAATTATTGTACCGTTATAAACGCTATCTCGCGCAATCAATCATTTTTTTCCCGTGAAAAAAAAAAAATAAAAATAACTAAGGATAAAAATGTACATATATATTTCAAATAATATATTTCAATAAAGGATGTATTTCTTTTTATTTCTAATCAACAAAATATTCTATGGCATTCTCTTCGAAGGCGTTTAATTTAATTCTAGAGCTATCAAAAAGACACATTCTGACGTTTCACATGTGAAACGCGACGCTCGAATGTCTGTCGCGTAATGCGCTATCATATATCCGCTTTCATTCAGCTGCCAACTGTTGCGACGAGAACCTCATGCGGAAACATTTTCCGGGTGTACTATGTCAGGTGAAAAGTGGCGGGGAGAAATACGATCGAAGACGAGCGGAGACGTCAAGGGATAAAAACCAGAGGAAGAAGAGAGAGAGAGAAAGAGAGAGAGAGAGGGGGGGGGGAAGGGAAGATTTCATTGCATGCATAATTTCTCAGTCCACGACTGCGTCTTCCCGTTACAATGAGCCGCCTTGTTCGAGTGTATTACCTTCGTTGTGTACGTGTGCAACGTGGGCAAGGGTGGCTCTGGGCTATATAGGAGCGCAGGCTTTCCTGCGAGAGTTGTATAGACCGACTCTAATACAATTGCTCCTGCGTCAAGTTTTCCCAGTATAAGGTATAGGCTATGCCAACTACTAACCCTGCGTCATGATGCTCGTACCGGATCTCCGCGAGCCATCCTCCACCACGATATAGTTCCACGGTTCTAATAAGGCGCACCGCGTACCTTATTAATAGTTGCACTTGGAAACTGCAACGCCGTTGCACAGCGAAAGATTAACAATATGTGCGCGGGAGTTTCTGCCGCGCTCAGGCAGAAGAACCCTCGACCGCAGAGCTGTTTGTCATGAGGAGAGATGCTTCCGAAGCAAAACACCGCTGCCGTTCAGTTGTAAACTGACGTTCTGGTTCATTAACGCCCAATGTATTTTCGCGCCGCATATCGGTGAAAGAGCATTTGTTTTCAGACTCCGAGATATTATTTATCCGTTCTTGGAGTTATATAATTTTTCTGGCCATTCCAAGTGATTTATAGCGTTATTTTCTCCATATATATTTACTTCTGCTTTTGTATGACATATTAATTGTAAGATTTGCTTGAAATAAATTATATTAAATGGGATAAACAATATTAATAAGGAGAACAATTTTCGCTGAGTACTTGTGATAAAATGCAGGAAGATATTTTAATATACGTCGCAAAGAATAAGTAGCCCATGCCAGGTCGAGTGAAAGAAAAGTAATTTTAGTAAAACATTGCTTATTATATGATAAATGTCTCATAATAACTTGTTTAACTGTCATTTTTGTATCTTTAAAATATATCTGTTGCATCTATAACAATATTATTATTATTGCATTAAAAAATAACAAGTAAAAAATAGAAAATTATATATTATTTAGTTGTTACTTAATAAATAGCCCTTTGATTATTTCCATTATACGCTTTATTGTGAACTTTTAAATTATGTCGCAACTCGTTATTTGTTTCTTATTTCTTCGCGAAACGTATAACAATTATATTGTTGATGCATATTTATTCGATTTACTGTAAAATTTAGAATTTGTAATGAAATATTTCATAAGACTGTTAAGTCATATATAAAACAAATCAGTAACAATGTTAAAAAAAATTAATACACTTTCTATCAAACCAACATAATAAATGATTATTAAAATAATATATCTCTCTACTTCCTTTAAAATCTGCGTATTTCTGTTATTTTTTAATTATAATCTCTACCGTCTGTTTTTTTAGAAGGAACTTCATCATGCATGTCTTTTTTAATTACTAGAACTCTGTTACATATCTTACATATTTTTCCTTAAAAAAGTGGAAGATAGAGATAAAGAAAAAAATGTTATCATTGCAAAGGACTGATGCTAGTCTAAAAAGATTAAAACAGCGCAAATTTTTATGCAAATTTTACGCTGGTGTAAAAGTGTTTACGCGCTGGGTTTCGTTGATGAGATCACGGAATATGATTATGAAATAAATGAAGCTCCGAGCGATCGTGTCCGGGGCACATATTTGCCGTTTTACATCGAGATAAATTATGGACACGCGACAGTTAGACGAAACTCCTAGAATTAATTAGGATTCATAATATCGTCACTACTCCAGCATGCCTCTATAACACTTGACATATTGCATTGACTTTTCTCTGCTTCTTCTTGTTGTACTTTCATTAAATTTACTCAATGCAGTAATCTTATTTCAAGCTCCTCGCGATATTTTAATGTATTCAGCATCGACGTTGCTACGCATTCCGATACGATTATACTTAATTAAGGAAAATTGAAATTCTTAGTATTCCTTGCATATTTGTTATTATTCTATACTATTCGATATATTTTTACTGAATATTTTAAAAATACTATATGCACGTTTTTGCATTTTTTAGCTAATATCTAACACATTGTAGAAATTTTACTGAAAAAATGATGTAACTTTTTTTATTTTTTTTATACGTGTCGATAATTTTCCCACAACGATGAGAATATTTCGTTTGTCGAAATAAAGAGAGCTGTTACTATTCACATATAAATTTAAAAGTTATTACAGAATGTAAGAGATTAAATTGACAATGGAATGGAAACAAAATATTAGGAAAAATAAATATTTATACATCTATGTATATTTTTTAAATCTTTCGATAAAAATTTTTGGCGTGTATAACAATCTTTAAAATTCACTTACCTGCCACACGATACTTCTGCAAAATAGTTGTAAAGCAAACCTGCGTATTGAAGCGTGTATTATTAGAACAAGTATCTCCTTGTAATTTCTATAGCTTCTCCTCTGACATATCAGATCGGAACTGATTGACGCTTAGGGATAGACTCAAGTTAATTACGAAATCTACGTAAACTACAGGCGTGTTCTAAGCTGTCCGGTATAAGCTGCTATTATAATTAATTAATTAGTCGTGAGATGACTTAACGGATTGCCGGAGATACGCTAGGAAATTCCATTTGACTAGAATGGTGGCTGAATCATAAACTAGATGCTTCGCGTGTAGTTTTAGCACAAAGCGAATAAGTAATCGCGCAATAAAGATGATTAATGTATAAGAAATCATAAACGTAAAAAATATAGACTGCGCGTATCGAAAAAATGTTATGTCAAAATAAAAAAAAAACTTTCAGAAGGGTTTATACTTTTTCTTTTATGTATATTATTAATTAATTTGTATTTTTTTGCATTAAAAATTTAGATTTTTATTACTAATTAATATCTAAATTATATGTAAATATTTATAATTATTTATATTATAAATATTTATTATTTTGTCTCATTTTATATCCTTTGCGTATCTATATTTAGAATGTTTAATTTTCCACGCTCTTCCTCCTTGGAGATTTGTATCCCCACTATAGATATAACGATTTGCATCTAATTAATTTGAAGAAAATAATGCTTTTGAGACATTACTTTCTTTTTTATTTTTAATCTTGGCTCAAATTGACAAAATAGGCGCACAATCTATATTTCCTATGTTTGTGCGAGAAATTAAAGATAATTTTTATAAAACAAATAAAATTCTTATTTTTGCTATTATCACTGTTTTTCCTGCGTCCTGAAAGTTTTCATTATAGGATGTGTTAATTGTTTCGTAGTAATTAGAAAACACTGAACTGAAAAATTAATTATAACTAGTCGGTTTATTAATATAAGTTGGGGAAATTGTACGAACAACAATTGAAATTGATTTACAGCCTTACTTTTATTAACCGAAAGCCTAAACTATAATAAAGAATGCTAATATGTATATATATATCTTCTATCTATATACAATAAACCGATTTTTCACGATATTTGATACACAATTAACATTTGGCAACTTGAAATCGATTATTTCTTTCTTTTATTTTTGTTTGGCAGGAATCACACTTAGTCTTTCACAATTCAAAAATGTGCTTGTTCGATTGCCGCAAATCTGCCTCGTAACGTGATATTATCAAAATCGAAGAGGCTAAATTACAATCATTCGCAAAATCTTTTCTATCGCGATATTTTAAGGACGACGATGTGAGCTTTTTACGCATATCGCGTATCTCCTTAATTACGTTAGTGCTGATCATTAGAACTATCGATACGAATAAGTGTAATATTGCTTACGCAGCACTATAAAGATGAACTTCATGAATACATACCTGTACCGTTATGCCGCGATGTCTTGCGTTATTTACAAACAAAAAAAAAAGTCTCGCGCCATGTACGATACGAGTAGACGAGTCTCGGAATTATGCAGGAAATTTCAAACGTCTTAAAAAATCAGTCTTCTCGTACGAGAGATTCGAAGTTTCGAAGGGAGAGGGTTGATACGTCGTTGTTCGTTTTTCGGTAAAGCAGCGGAATTACTCGCCGCTGACAGCCGGTTTTCATGATACGCGTCGTAAAAAACATTTCTCTTCTCGTGAAGAATACTCTTCTTGGAAAAAAATTTCTTGTCCAAGTTAATTTATCGCGCGCATTTGATTCTCTTGCAGGAGGAATCCTCGGAATCCTCGGAATTTTTTACGTTTTACAGTTTTTTTTGGCACAAGGCTTTTAAACGCGTTTAAGTCGCGCACCATCGCTTCCCGCCGATGTATGATAAGATTAAGTCATTCGAAGATATTCTCGTAGTAGAAATCGCGCTGTTAATGAAAGCATTGTATCCACGGTTTTTTGGCACTTTGCTTTATCGCATTTTTCTCTTGGTATAATGATGAGCAGATAATCACGAGAGCGGTAGTGTGGTTTGATGAGATAGTACAAAAATTCTTCTACATTGTTGATGTATCGCTGTCGATTAAAAAATTTTTATCGATTGGTGTCGATTTGATCATTCGCTACAAAAGATCGAACAGTATGCGTATATCAGTATCTTACCTAGATTACGTACTCCAAATAAAAGAAATTACGTTGATCGATCGTCGTGACAGCGGAATAAAATTATCACGACATCATCACACACTATGTAATCGACGATTATATAATCGATGATTTCACATTTGATTACTCAAAACAATTCCGACGTAATATTTTAATTACGCGCAAATAGTTCGGACGCCCAATCCACACGGCCGTCTCGTTTCTTGTCACATTTTCGACGACAATACGCAAATGTCATCGACACGTCTCTTTTACCCGCGCGATTATTAGCTATAGATACTGGTACAAGTCGACATGGTTTTCATTTCAATGTCGTGTTGAGCGGTCTCTTTTCGAGACTCCTTCGCCTTTTGCTACGAACCGAGGGATGGCGGTCCGATGTTGCTGATGAAACTCGGACATGCGTTCTCCGCTCTGTCGCCGCTTTGCAAGGAGAAGTGCCTGTAAGACATGTATTCTGGCGGATTCGAGGACAACGGTTGATCTCGCTTAATCGTCGCGCGTTGCTTTTTCATCTTCATGTAACCCAGAACGGAAATTAGCACCACGAAGACGACGAAGCCCATGCAGCTGCCTACGATCAGGCCTAGCCGTCTCGTGAGGATACTCGCCAGACCGCCTCTATCGCTCACCGTACCATCGCCCACAACCGAATCGGGCGCGTCCAAAGTTCTGACCTCGGTGCACCGGCTCGTAGGTGAATTCACCATCACGGGCAGCGAGGATCCTACGATCACGTCGTCATGCGAGGCATTCCATTGCCAGGAACCGATGTCCTCCGGGATTGGCGTACCCCAACTGCCTAAGCCGAGTACGCAAATCAGATAGCGCGTGTCAGACACCAACTTTGTCAATCTCACCGAGCGTGCCTTTGGATCCAGCAGCTTACCTCGTACCTGAAATGCCGATAAAAACGGGCATCTCGTCATCAACATGCGCGATTTTTTATCCGTCGCCGGGCTTGAATAAATAAGAAACGGGCGTTCGTGAAATAATGCAGCAAATTTTAGCTTCTAGCATGATTTTAATTATCTGTGTATATGTATAAGTTTGGTTCATTACTTTTAATATTCAATTATTAAATTATTATTTCACTTATTAAATTATTAATATTTGGTTCATTATTTTTAATATTAGGAAATGTAAATAAACTATTATAAATTATTATGTAAAAAGAATAAAACTGGATAAACTACAAATTTTTAAAATTCTCTGCGGAAAAAATTTAAATAATATAATAATCTCGTTAATCAAAAATTATATATTAAATGAGAAGCGGAATCAAATTTTATATACAATTACTAGAGTATGTTTAATTTCTAAATTGTTATTGCTAAGCAGTCTTTTCTTAAGTTTTTTTCTTTTTTTCTTAACATTGTGTAAAATTTCGACTTTTCTCATAAAAATTTCTTTACCTCGTCGACATTATCCAAGGCGTGGTACGCCACTTGGTATCCATGGAGGCCGGAATGATTTCTGCTCTGCCACGATACCAGAACGGAGAAGGGCTGAATGTCTTGAATTGCGAGTTTCAAAACCAGTGGAGCGGAACAGAAGGCGTGGGGGTCAAGATCGAGGAAGACGAGACCCCGTAGCTCAGGCGGCTGTTCGCATCTTAACAAACCACCCTCGACGTCACCGACTCCGACGCCATTTCTTCCGCGGCTACGACCCCCACCGACTCCACTCACCAGTTTCTGATGATCCCTTAACCATTCCCACAACTCTTGCGATTCGCAGCCACAGTGTAAGGGGTTCTCTGTTAATAAGATCATTTCGTTAATTAATTGTAATTTGATATTTATTTAGATTCATTTAGATTTAAGATTGGATTAAAAAACGAACTTCCTGCATGAATAAAATTCATTAACTATGCTCGATAATTAATCGAATTAAATAGGACAAAATGGATACTGATTCTTTGATACTGAAAGTATATTTGAATTTGTGAGAGATGATAGATCTTATATTTTGCATTATATATATTTGATAATATTTTTTTCTATATACGCGTAATATATAAAAATACACGAGTTCGAGAGAATGAAATAATTTATTTATTAATTTATGATTAGATATTAATTAAAAAATATTCACAAAAGAGCCTTTTTATATAATGAAAAATTTACATTATATTTATATACATGATATAATAATGAAAAATTTACATTATATTTATTATAAGAGAAATTTTATATATATTCTATTCTTATTGCATAACCATAAAGCAGAACTTTATACTCTCTAGTTATTTCACTGGAAATTTAATCTATAATGAAAATCTCATATATAATAAATATAAGTTTCATTTATTCTCTCGCGTGTGCTGTAACTGATTAAAATTAATTACAAATCTCATGCATCAACTATTAAATCAACAATCAAAATTTATAATTTCAATTCAATACATAATAATTTGCATAAAATATGTCTGCGAGTATCATGAATAAATGAATTAAATGGCACACAATATATAATATTTTATCGTCAGGATTACATTTTCGCAAATTTTGTGAAAGAAAACATATATTTTTTTTTATCTGTGATATATTTTAAATAAATTTCCGAGAAACATTAAGACATGAGAAATTAAATTGCAAATATCATTAGAAATGAAAATTAAATGGAGTGCAAGCTTGTTTGATTATTCTAGTGTTGAATATTGATTCGAAATATGGCAATACGTGACTGGCGATATGATTGGTTTTCGAGTAGTAGTAAATTCATTCGGATCGATAGTCGCCGTATGTATGAGAGAAAATTCTCTCTCTCTCTTTCTTTTTCTCTTTGCCTTTGTTCACTTGTATTCGAATTCACAGCAATCAACAACTTTTATCGCTCTTCTCAAGAAAGAAGCAAGCATTCATACAAGCGCGAAATTAATTAGAAATACTAGAAAGAGAGACGTGTCTTAGCTCACCTTCAGCCCGCAGGCTCCTTATTTGCGTCTCGAGTGGCCGGAAAGCGTTCAGTGGCAAATTTTCCAAGTAATTCCTACTCAAGTCAAGTAGACGTAACTTCTTCAGGGGTCTAAATGCCTCGCTGGAGATGGCGTTTATCCAGTTACCGTAAAGATGCAGCTCGATCAGGCTAATTAAATTCTTGAACGTCACTTTGCCGACGATGCCGATTTGATTGTAGGACAAGTCCAGTATTTGAAGTGATTTGAGATCTTCCGGAAACTCCTCGAGCTCTTTCAGACGGTTATGCGTTAAATTGAGTATGCGCAAGTGTTCCATACCCTGAAGTCTCTCCTTTGGCAGGATCTCTAAACTGTTCATGCCGAGATGAAGAGTGAGTAGATTCGGCAGGCTTCGAAACGCGCCTGGCGATACTCGAAGAATGCCATTCTGCCCTAAATAAAGGTGCAGCAATGCCGGAAAGGCCTCGAAGTCTTGCGAGGTTACTATACTGAGATTCGTGCCGGATATGTGCACTTCCTGGAGAATAGGATACATTGCTTCCGATGGCAGATCGTGGATTCTATTTAAAGGATTCCGGGTAAGATTTAGCCATGCAAGACCGGGGAGATTCTGACCCGAGAGAGCGACCGCGGGTATTTGTCGAAATTTATTTTCCGATAAATCGACTCTTCGCAATAAAGATGAATGCGCGAAGAAGTTCGCCGGTAGCGCATTTAAATTATTGTGACTGAGATCCACAGATGTCAAAAGTGATAAATTGGCCATCGCAAAGCCGGACATTGTTTCAATTTTATTGTGGCTCAGATCCAGCTCTCTCAGATGCTTTAAACTGGCGAAACTCGCCACATCGACGTTGATGATTTCGTTGGTGGACAATGTGAGGATTTCGAGATTGCGAGCACTCGCCAGCGCCGAATACGGAATGTCTTGGAATCGATTATAATCCAGACGTATTTCTCGCAACGAGTGCATTCTATCAAAAATGCCTGGCGGCAGAGTGCGCAGATGATTACAATTTAAATGCAAACGCACAAGATTTCGATTCAGCACGAAGATAGTTTCCGGCAGCTGGCCTATTTGCGAATCGTCCAGGAGCAGCTCTTGTAGAGATGGCAGCCCGTTGAAACAGTGTTCCGTAATCTGACTGAAGTTGTTACCGGATGCCACTAATGTTCGAAGACCAGGGATGTGCAAATTCAGAAGCGCCGATGCTGTGAGAAGATTGTCATCCAAATTGAGATCGAACAGATTATTGAGTCCGCGAAAGGCACCATTCTCTATCGTGATTATCGAACAGTTCTTCAAGTTCAACGTCCTAATTGGCAAATCCTCCTGAAAAATCGCGTCTTGCAAAACGGTGAGATAATTATTCGCCAGGTCCAATACCTTCAGCTTCTTGAGCGCCGTTAACGCGTAAGGATCGAGCCGCTTCAAACCATTATTTTGTAAATATAGTTCCTCGAGCTCGTGCAACTCCGAGAACGTTTTCGCCGTTACGTGACTCAGCTTGTTCATACTAAGCTCGAGGAATTTCAAAGCCTGCATTGGCTGAAAAGCACCGTCCTCGATTCTAGATATAGAATTGTTCGTCAGATAAAGACGCTCCACTAAAAGGAGATCCCTGAAGAGAGGCGCTTGCAAATGTGTCAACTTGTTGTGGCCAAGCCACATGATTCTGACGGACGCTTGGCCGCGCAGAGAATCATTGTGCAGCACTGCCAGGCCGTTACTGTCCAACTGAATGGACACCAAAGAGCTTCCGCCGGAAGACGACTCCGAGGCGGATAGCTGAAAGACGTCGCCGAGCATAGTCAATTGATTGCCCTGTAGATTAACGTGCTGGAGACTATTCAACGTTCTTAGCGCGCCCGTTTCCATAGAGGTAATGGCGTTGTTTTGCAAATGGAGCTCGAGGAGCGCCGGAAGCGGCGTGAAAACGCCACGCTTCACCTCCGTTATATGATTATCCTGTAGCCGCAGCTCGCGCAGCTGATGCAGCTTGACAAAGGTGCCCGGTTGTAGTTCGCGGATCTTGTTACCATCTAGAGAGAGCGACGAGAGGTTTTCGCAATGTTCGAGGAACTCCCGCGGCACCTTCTCGATGTAGTTGTTACTCAGATGCAATTGGGCCAGCTGCGTGAGACTCGTGAGACCCTTGGCGTCGATCCTTCGAATGGCATTCTGCTGTAGATATACCACTGCGAGACTAACGCTGCCAGCGAACGCATCTCCCGGGATCTCGAGAATATTGTTTTCCGCCAGATAAAGTTCCCTCAGTTCGGGCAACCTCGCAAATACACCGCCGATGTAGTGAATGTGGTTATGACTAAGCTCGATCGTGCGCAGTCGTTCGTTTCCTTTAAATGTTGTCACATCGAGGAAAACGATTTTATTATGGCTCAAGTCGATCGATTCTAGATCCTTCAACGATACGAAGGCGTCCTTGTGAATGCTCTCGATGGAGTTGTAGTAAAGAGATAAAGTGTGAAGGATCGGGCAGGGCCTGAAGCAATCTTCAGCTAGCTTCTCAAAATTGTTACTGCTCAGATCGAGGATCAACAGGGAGCTAAGAAGACTGTAACCGTCGTCGGGTAATTCCGATATCTCGTTCCACGCCAGCCTAAGTGAAGCTAAACTCTCGAGTCTTCTCATGGGTGCCATAGGAAACAACTTCAGCTTGTTTTCCGCTAGATCCAGATCGCTGAGACTATCTTCGAGACCCGCAAACGCGTATTCGGAAATTTTCGATATTTGATTACCCTTCAGAGTCAATTTCATTAGCTTCAAGCCATAAAAGCAGTAGGACGAAAGATCCTGTATCAAATTCGTCTCGAGATCCAGAGCAGCAAGCTTTCGTAAGTCGGCTAATGATTTTTGAGGCACGTGAGATAAGCGGCCGGAAACCAGTGCCAAAGATTCCAGGCTATCCTTTAGATTCGTAAAGGCCCCCTCGCTTATTTCGCGTAAGGATGAATGTGATATTTGGAGATGCCTGATTTGCGATCCGGGCGGGAAAGCGTCCTCTCTCAGTTCCTCGATGCTCTTGTCAAGCTCGTAAACGCTCAATGACTGTACCATCGTGCCCGTACCTGGAAATGGTCGTAAAAGGCACGACCATTAATGTGAGACTATAGCAGGAACTTTGAGTTTGGCAGCAGTAACTAATTGCACATTTCATTAGTTTTATGAGAGCGTTAAAGAAAATGGCTTTCCCTTATTCGTCTTACATTAAAACTGCATAAAAATGTTGTAAGTAAATGTGCGCTTTTCATGTAAGTACTTTGATATTAAATGAGGTATGACGAGTAAATTTAATAGCGTGCAATGGAATCGATGCTTTTGCGGTTATTGCTAAATGTATTTTTAATCGCATATTATTAATTTATATTATAAACATTATTTTGTAGCAATATTAATATACACATTGAAAAAAGTTACATATATATCTCAATTATATATTTTTAACTCTTCCTCTCTTTTTATACTTTTGCAAAGCATACATTTCAAAATTCATATGATGCAAGTATATTGTATATTTATTGTTATTTATAATTATTTAATCAGACAGAGAGGAAATGCTATGCGAATGTTATGCGAATTTTCGACACGTGTCTTCATAGTAGTTTGAAATATGTTTAGCGAGACCAGACGCTTTTGACTCAATAAAAATGATTTTGACTCAATAAAAATTGCTTATACTTATAATTAATTGTTTATACTTACCGCTTATACTTAGCACGCCTTGTAATGTAGTTTTTAGAGTTTCTTCCGTAGCGCCAGCGCATTCTAGAAAGAGACCGTCTTCAAAGTTATAGCAAGGACAGCCCGGAATTGTCTCTGACGGCGGACATTCGGCTATCTGAGCTACGGCTTTAAATGTAACGAAATTCTGTATTAACAGGATTTGGAGGACCATCCTCGCGATCCACCGATTTACAGTGCGAGAATGATCTCTCCGTCGTTGCGGATCTCGCGTCATCGTATCGTCACATCCGTAATCCTGTTTCCCGCCTGACAGATTGCAAGGAGCTTCCTGAAATTAAATAAAAGTTACGAAAAAAATTGAAATAAGCGAATTTGCGATTTTGTTCAATATACGTAGTTCGATAAAGTATTTTTAACATTTTACTATTTAGTAACGTAATATTTTATAAATTGCAAATTAAGATGTCGTAATTTATTTGATTTTCATTGTATATTATAGGAGGGATTTTCATAAATTATCACATTTCAGTTTACCTTCTAAGGAAACCACATCAGTAATTTTTTCTTGTTTACTTTACAAACGTTGCGAACAAACTCTCTTCTTGAATTGATCAAAATTATATTTTTTATTAATTACAATTATTACATATTTATATGCTGTATGCAATAATAAATTAAAGTGTTATAGTCTTTGTCAAAATTTTCCTATTTCACTGACAAATATTTACGGCTGCCTTTGCCATGAGAGATTCTTGTCTGAATAAATCCACGGGTAAAGTTAAACTTCGTCTGCCAGGCACTATGCAGCGCATGTTGAAGCATGTTTACGAAAAAGTACGGCCGAGCTCTCAGAATAGTGCGAATAGCTTCCTTGAATAACAAAGAGTCCACGTCTTACTAAGACGGAGTTGCATACGAATACATGAGAACATAAAAATTATTTGACTCTAGTGTAAGAAAAAATTGTGTTCTCTTTGCAGTTTCGTGAGACACATTTTTTCTCGATAGAAAAGAAAGTTTCTTTATCATGTTAAAACTGCTTTTGTATAATATATTTCTGTACATATATGCGAGAATATATATATATATCAAAAATATATATTTAAAATATAAAAAAAATTTGGATCTTATAATTCATAAAAGCCTTAGAACTGAAAAAGTTTCTACTACATACAATTGCTGATAGCGAATATAACATGACTTGTACATGCACAAGTATATTTTTAATTTGAATCTATTTCGCAAGAAAATATTATTAAATTAATAAACGTGGCAATGCTGTTTGTGTCAATCATGCTAACAAGTTCTTATCTCGATGACGTTCGATTTTGATATGCTGAAAATATATACTTCCTGAACTGTTATCTGTGAAGCGTGTTTCCTGTGTACAATAATATTTCTCGCTCAGTGAATATCAAGTTTTAATTTCGTAACATTTTTAACAGAAGATTATACAATTGTATCTTTGCTATAAAAATATAATATAATAAATTGTAATATAAACGCGTCTTTTCATAGCTTTAAATATGATAAACATATATGCCACGAGGAGGCACAAGCATCTACAAAGTTCTTTGCGCGTAATCGAGCGGCGGCAATGGTCGATTCAGAAATCTGTATCACAAAGACGTCTAGACCGAATCGATTTTTCGCAAGCATCAAGCCGCGATATCGCGCCATTCACGCTCAACTGAATCGACGAATGCCTCTTCCTTCTGACCTCGCTGGAGAATCGCGAGCACGAGAAGCCTCAATAGCGGCACATCATTCTCATCTACATTTACATTTGCGCTTCCGTAGAGGGACGATATCGTATACGTTTTTACGATCAGGCGATAAAACATACAGCGTTTCACGAGACGTGCGTGCCAAAGGCTTTGAATTCGAATCCAGCAAAGCGTGCGTGCCTTACCTGAGAGCACTCGGGGGAGATCCTTGAAAAGATCTTTCATGAAATATGATTAACGAACTCTCGAAAGAGCTAAATAGTGCGAATTAGATCGAACGAAACCTTGTACAACCCAGTGGTATACAATCTAGATATGAAAAATATCTACGATATTTCTTTTACCAGCTAGGTATTCATTTGCCGGAGATATATTTTCAGTTTCTTCGACATAGAATTTCTTGACAAATAAAACATGTGTTAAAATGATATATAAGCAAACAGATAGCAATTCCATTAGCACACATAAACGTACGTACATTAACGCGCAAAGGCATCGTGACAGCAAGGTAAATGAATCTCCGACTTGGAGGGTAATCGTATCGGATCCCTTCTCTGTTTGCTATCGAGCGAAGGAGTCAACGTACTCCGATTATTTCGCAGCGAGCGATTAAGGGCGGATTCACTTGGAATTCAAGAAACGTTTTCAATTTAAACATTAATCTTCGTAGAGAGAAATGCCGGTTCAGCATTATATCGGAATCCCAAAGCTATCTTTCTCCTTAAGTATTTCGATCGAGTGACTGGGCAAACTTGGCGCGGCCGATATATGTATATCGGTTCTTCTATTCGCTCTGCTGATCTCGGGGAATATGTTGTTCGTAGGACATACGCCGCATTCCTGGCACGATCGCCATAAATGCTCTATGCCCCTGGAATCTGGTGTACGATGCGCCATTAGTAAACTAAGATATCGCGGTTACGTGAAGCTCCTCGATTTGGATTATTGGCACCTGGTATTGATAGAATTAAGCCACGGCGACAAATGGATTAGCGGATGATCAATTTTAGCAACGATGGACGGTACTTGACACGTAACGGCATTTATGGAGATGAATGTCCTATTACCATCCACTAAGACTGAAATATAATATTGTGATGCAAACTTAATTATATTTAAAAGAAGTAATTAAAAACGACCACACTGGCAAATTTTATTCAAGTGAATCACGACGTTTCAGTCATATATTGGCCAAACAAAAAGACATTTAAGCACTCGTGTAAAAGAACATCGCAACAACATAAAAGTGCACGAAAGTAATTTTTCTGTTATTTATAAATAAACATAAAGTTGAATTTAATCATGACTTCGATTGGTCATTACCGGTTATTTTACATAAAGAGAAACACGTGAGAAAGAGAAAAATCGCCGTTTTTTATAAAAAAGTTTGACAACACGATCAACTTACACAAGGACACTGAAAATTTAAACAATATTTATGATAGACTAATAAAGGTTGTCTAGTCTTTCTCTGTGTGTTGATGGAGACGTTGACATGATAATCTTGACCAAGTGATTTCCTTATTTCTCACGATAGAATAGTTAACTGAATTAATGTATGTATTTAACTTGCCGCTCATTTTTTATTTCAAAATCAATATAATTAATTTTTTTGTGTAATACTGGAAATAATCGTTTGTAGTTCACTCGAAAAGGACCAAAACCATGGTCGAAACGTCGTGATTCACTTTAATAAAATTTGCCAGTGTGGTCGTTTTTAATTACTTCTTTTATTTTATTTACTGGCGACCTTCAGGAGTTTAATGTTAATTATATTTATTGTTATTTGTCTTTTCTGCACATGTATATATATATATTTTTTTAGAATTATATTCTAAAAATATTTTAACTTACTAAGACAAGAAAAAAAATTTCCTTGGTCCATATGTTGGACCGGCAACTTTCGATTGGCACTTTCGAAGGTTTTATTAAAAGATATCGATGTATGAATGTGCGCAAAGAAAACGTTTGTCTAATCGGATGAGAGGTTCAAAGCATGCTCCTCTGTGAAATCGATGCGGTAAGAGATTATAAGTTGTGAAAAGAAGAAAGTAGTTGAGAATTCAGTAGAAAATGCGCTTTACGCGAGATATACATCGTTTCGATCCAAGTACACGGCTGTATACGTAGTTCTCAAGAGCGTACTCAGCGCTTCATGCAACACCAACGGTAATAAAGCGCGAAAACGTTTCTGCACCGTGTTTTAACGCGATGAAAACAGTCAGCGCGCACTTCTGCCCGAAGAAAAACGAAACGTGTCTCTTTCAGCGCGTCCATTTCCTCGTCAGAATCTCTCGCCTTTCCCAAACGAAATTTCTGCAATGGAATTAAAAGGTTTACACGTACTACTAAAAACATCTCTCTCTTTTTCGTGTTTCCTCGATTTTTTGTTAAATTATTTATTTGCCACTCTACCACGTTTTGCATCGTATTGTATTGTGGCATGAAATGAACATTTCTGATAAACAGACATATAGATGCATTGATACATATTTATATATTCAGATGTACGATACGTAAAATATAAATGTTTCAAAGTAATTTTTTTAAATATTATTAAACATTCAAGTCATGAAAATTTTGTGAAATTCGCTAAAAAACCGATAAACAATATAACAATATAATTATTTATATTTTTAATTTTTAAACTTTCCTATTATATAAATATCTTTTTTTCATTTTAAGCTTTGATTTTATAATTATAGATTTTTAAGAGGATCGATATCCACAAACGATATTATATGTCGTAGTAATTTCGACTCTATAAAAAATTCTTCATGTTACTTTACAACGTTGAATAATTCATTCCATTCGCGGTGCTGCCATTTATCAAACAAAGTCAACAGCTTCTGAATTTCGTGATTTACATCAAATCGATTTAGAAACAACAACACATTGTAATTTGGAAACTACTGTTTTGACAAGGTAATGCTGTCTTGCTTTCCCATTAGCCAGGCATTTATACGACACGACTTGTGAACTTCATGGTTCAATTAGCAGTCGCTCTTTTCGACCCACCGTCGTGTCAACAACATGTATGCGCATGCATATTAATTACTTGACGAAGAGCTTTGATATCCTGTAGTTACACTATGATCAATTACTGTGAGGCTTGCTCTCTCATTAGTAATATACTGATGTAACATAACTGCTACAATAAACGTTAAACAAAGAAACCATTCCATTGATTTGTATAAATCAATTTTGAATTTATTTTTAGTTTATTCTAAATATAATTTACACATATTTAAATTTATTTAATAAATTTTATATTCAAGTAATGTAATAAAATAACGCGTCATGTTAATTCGAATGTTTACGACTCTCCGTTTCTAAATCATTTAAGGCAGAGGGTGATTAATTTCCTGCACTAGGCAGCAACAGTCGAAACTGAACTCGGCACTGTTTTTACGGTTTATAACGACTATCGTATCGCGTTTCCCGTCGTAAACTGCGCATAATTTCAAGAATACGCTATAGAGTTGCCATATATAAAACCATAAAACGGTACACGATATGTAGATAGGCAGTATCGTAAAACCGGTACACTAGTATCCGCGATACGTTTCTTCCTTACGAATCCTGACTACATCTTGAAAGA